GTAAATAATATTATTTTATATTCATTTTGTCTTTTGCAATAGATGCTCAATCCCATGAGAGGTTCATCTCAAGTGCATGCAAAGGAAACTGGGAAGGGAAAGAGGAATGCCCTTTTCCAATGAGAGTTTTATTATATTATTTTAACTTTCTTTGTTCCAAAACGTAAATAACACTTTGGTTGTAAATATACATTATATTTTTTAAAATTGAATTTTAGTTTTTAATGCATCTCTACTATTCAATTATTATGTGTATATGAATTATTAAAATAGGTCATATTTGAGAATAGGCTCATTTAAATCTTGTTGGGTTACAAGTATTATGCTAGCAAGGATGGTTGATGAAGCCATTTCAATTTTCAGTGGCATTTATTAGCAAATGTCATCAAAACTTAATATAACCTTTTGGCAACAGCTATTAAAAGTAATTTCTGTAACACTTTTCCAAATGTCACCATAAAATATTAATGCATCTCAAATTTATCCTTTTAGTGACATTAGGCAAACGTCACCAAAATTTATTTTTTGTGACACTTATGAAATGTGACTAAAAATATTTATTCGGTGATAGTTAAGAAATGTCAAAAAATAATTTTATTGGTGACATTTATAAATGTCGCCAAAAATAGGCATTTGCTAAGTATTAACAAGAGAAATTTAAATGTTGTCATTGTATGAAGTATGTGACTTTTGTAAAAGGTTTAGTGACATTTGCAAAATGTCGTGAAATCTAATATAATCGTCACAAAAACTTTTAACGACATTCACAATCGTGACGATGATGAAAACGTCACAAAAACCTTTTGGCGATGTTTCCCTAGCTTTTGGTGACGTTTATGAAATGCCACGAAAAGCCTCTTTTCCTGTAGTGTGGCACTTGTAGGAATATAATTACTTTTGAAACCAGAGTTGTTAAGCCTCGACATAGGACTGCTTTCTAGGTGTCTAGCATCGGAGGCGGAGCTACCGCGTTTGGCGATCGATGTGAGCCTTGTGGACAAAGAGACAAGGTCGATGGGAGAGGCATCGGACTAAAAGATGAAAAAGGTTATACGAAGTAGAGTTGGGCGGGTTGAAGTTAAGTGTTAGGGGCCAGTGCTGGTTTTGAGCCAAAGGAGTGGAGCTGAGCCATGGTGCAAACAAAGTGCTTTGTAGGGGTGTTCACATTAAATGTCAAACCAACCAAGTTGACCAAACTGGCTTGACCCAACCCGAGTTGGTCGGTTTTTAAAACCATCGGTCGATTTCAGTTTGTATGAGAAAATAAACCGATAACTCGATTTGGTTCTAAACCGAACCGGTCCTATATGTTTAAGTGTTTAAGTAATTATTAATTAGTCCATACCCTATATGTTAAAGGTTGATATATTTTATTTGTGTTTGTTTGAACTTTGAAAAAAAAATTGGTTATTTATGATAAAAACTAAAAATGTAAAACCAATACAAATATAATACAATGGTACAATATTTAATTTAGTTTTGAATAAAAAACTAATCGATTCAAATATATATTTTGATTTTGAATAAAATCAAACCGACCCTTCATGTTTGGGTCGGTTTTGCTCCAGAGTTGGTTGGTTTCGATTTAGTCAATAGGTAAACCGACTAGGTCAGGTCGGTTGAAGAAAATGACTCAAACCAACCTAACTCGACCCATGAACACCCTTAGTGCTTTGGTGACCTCACTCACTGTGACCGAATAGTTGAACTCCTCCACAAAACCATTTTGGTGAACCACTCTTATTCCATCAAAGGAAGACGATGATTTGCAAGATAAACAACCACCACAATAGAAAGACTGAGCAAGACAAGCCAAAACAGATCAACCAGGGGTATGATTCATAAAGACCTTGGGGTATGATTCTGAAACAGATCAACTAGGGATTGGGGAGGAACAAAAAAACTGCTACCACTGATGAAGTGAAAAGGGTTGTGTTCTTTGGAGGAATCCACAACGAGATTATTGTGATGAATTGACGCCATTAGCAATAGACACAACTAAGAGTAAGAGGGGGAGAGTTGAGATAGAGAAGGGAGGAAGGAAAGTGCAAAAAAACTGCCTCGGTCCCATCCTATCGCTAGAACTCTTCCTACGACTCCAATCCAGTCATCCCCATCACTGCTACTCGGGAATGGATCACTGGCTTGCTCATTGCTGCCATTTTCGTTGGACAATACACCAGCTCCACTACCTCCACCCAGACCGGAGTCTATCTATTTATACACCAAAAGTACTAGATCTTAGCCTTGTCGGATTAAAAAAAAAGTCATAAAATAAGGTGGCATTTGATAAATCTGGAAAGTTAAAAAGATATTAAATGTGTCTAAAATCTGAAAAGAGGTATAGTTGCTTTTCTACTTTTTAGAAGATCTGAATCCATGAGTTTATTTGTGTTGGATCAACCTTTTACCATCTGAAATTTATTGATTTTACTATTTTGCCCCTAAAATATACATTTTGAAAATGTTGAATTCAATTTATATTATCTCATAAAAAATAATTTTCAACCTCAAAATAATATTGAAACAATATAAATAAAAAATAAAAAATTACTAATTACTAATTAATAAATGAAATAATTAAAATAAAAAAATAAATAATGATTATAAAAATATTAAAATAATTAATAATTTACAGAAATAAAAATTAAACTACTTTTTAAAAATTAATGAAATAATTAAAAATATTAATTAATAATTAATAAATAACACAAGTAAATTTAATAAAAAATATTAAAATAATTAATAAAAATATTTTATAATTAATAATTAATAAAAACATTATTATTATTCACCGAAGTACCGAACCACCACTACTGCTTGTTGTAGTGGCAGTGGCGGTGGTGGGAAGATAGGGGAGGGAGGGAGAGAGAGGGAGAGAGGGAGAGAGGGAGAGAGGGAGAGAGGGAGAGAGAGAGAAGACAGGGAGAGAGAGAGCCACCCCTGGGGAGAGAGAGAAGACAACGGTGGTGGCAGTGGTGGGAATATAGGGGAGAGAGAGAGAGAGAGAGAGGGAGCGAGCGAGCGAATGAGAGAAGACAGGGAAGGAGAGAGAGAGAGAGAGGGAGGGAGAGAGTGAGAGAAGACTAGAGGGGAGAGAGCTGCCGCTACAACTTGTAGTGGTGGTGGCGGGAATACGGGGGCGAAGAGAGAGAGTAAGAGCGAGAGCGAGAGTGAGAGAGAGAGAGAGCGAGAGAGAGAGAGCAAGTGCGATAGAAGACATGGGGAGAGAAAGCAGCTATTGCAGCGGCGGTGGTAGGAATACAGGGGGCGAAGAGAGAGAGAGAGAGAGAAGATAGGGGGAGAGAACTGTCGCTACAGGTTGCAGCGGCGGTAGCGGGAATACAGGGTGAAGAGCGAGAGCGAGCGAGCGAGCGAGAGAGAGAGAGAGAGAGAGAGAGAGAGAGAGAGAGAAGACAAGAGGAGAAAGAGAACCACCGTCGGAAGTTGCAGCGGCAGTGGCAGGAAGACAGGGCGGAGAGAGAGAGAGAGAGAGAGGTTGAATGTTTTGGTTTTCTGGGTTTGGGGTATCAAGGGTAATTTGGGTCATCTACGAAAAATTGTAAGGATATTTTCGACATTGGGCTGGCTTTGAAACACATCTTAATGCATTAAGAGCCAGACCAAGGTCTGTGATTTTCAGATCTGAAAATTAGTTTCAAACCTAATTTAAGAGGTACAACCAAACAAGGGGTGAGGTATGAAAAGTAGCTTTTTCAGATTCAGACCTCTAAAAAGTGCAATCAAATGGCACCTAAATTAGAACAGAATAATTTGGGCGTTTAGAAAATTTTAAACAATCAAATGAGAAACTTTTTTGAAATCAACTGATGGAACGTTAACCGAGGGGGGGTCTTTGTCTAATGGCCAAAGTTTAGGGGATCTTTGTTGCAAATTAAAATTCAGGGGGTATTTGTCACTGACCCATGGTACAGGACCGTGTAATTACCTAAAATAATGCAAAATAATAATAAACCAATAAAAATTAATAAAAAAAAATTTCAAAAAAAAAGTACCATTAAAATACCAAAAAAATAACAACTTAAATTGTGATTGGATAAACTAGACATAACCCAAACAATAATACTACTTAAATAAGAGCCACTTAATTGAAAATGTTATAGAACTCGATCCATCATCAGTTTTACTTATAAATAAAGCCCGTGCTTCAAAACTGTCCACACTGTTTTTTGCAAACAGCCAAAGCAATTCTCATAATCAAACGCACGGAACCAAAAGACTCCCCATGGTATGTGGCGGATGTCTAGTAAGCTCATGTGCACCTGTTTTTGTCTAACAGCCAAAGTTCAGGGGGTCTTGTTGCAAATTAAAGTTAAGAGGTATCTGTCACTGACCCCATGGTACAGGAGGTCCGTGTAATTACCTAAAATAATACAAAATAATAATAAATCAATAAAAAATAATAAAGAAGTTTTTCAAAAATATTAACATTAAAATACCAAAAAAATATAAAACACAACTTAGACTATGATTAAATAAACCAGACATAACCCAAAAAATAATAATACTTAGTGGGACCACTTAATTGAAAATGTTATAAGCTCGATCCATCATCAATCTTACTTATAAATAAAGCCCGTGCTTCAAAACTGTCCACACTGTTTTTTGCAAACAGCCAAAGCAATTCTCAGAATCAAACCCACGGAACCAAAAGACTCCCCATGGTATGTGACGTATGTCTAGTAAGCTCATGTGCTCCTGTCTCCACCTCTCATTCTCCTACAACGTTTATTATGTAATACCACAAAATAAGGCCGTTAAATTGAACTTAGGACAAATTGGTTGGCATTTGCTGCTTTAATCTTTAATGTTACTTTAATTCAATACCATTGGAACGAGATGCCAAAAGAACAGCCTTCAAAAATTAGCTTTGTTCCTCTAAGGTGGATTAAACTCTCTCTCTCTCTCTCTGTGAAAAAAATGTCTTTTGGTACAACGTACTTAGTAGAAATATCAAATGTATAACTTTAATAAAAAAATAAAAAAGAATGATGAATAATTACCATAAATTTCCATCCATTAGAGAACCTTCTTTTCTTGTAGCTTGTAAAGCAAACTATGGTTATGGATGGAAAACAATTCAAAGAGGAATAAACCACATTGGTATAATAGACCCTTTTGACTCAAAAATAAATAAAATAAAATAATAATAATAATGATCTTATATGTACATTCCTTTTCAAAACATAATCCACAGATTAATCATCGCCGTTACCGCGATTACGGCCCACCATTTTCGAGTGAACGATTTTAAGCTGTCTGATCCACTGCAAACCAGTTTATTGTTGTGGTAGGTGCACACAGTTCGCTTCCTGCAACAAGAGCAAAGGGAATAATTATTTATTTATTTATTTTTCTGAGAAGCCAAAGGGAATAAGTAATTTATAGTGATGGTGGGCGATGATCTCTTACAAGGAATAGAGGTTGTCTTCCATTTGTTTTAGTGGTTTTTGAGGGGATTTCAAGAAAAAAAAATGGCAAAACAGTATTTGTATAACCAACCCCTATAGTGAGATGATGAAGAACAGTAATAATGCCTCATGTCAGCCATGCACCTGAAATGAGAGGTTGGAATGGTTGTGGGGGCATATACACTTGATGGCTCACATAGAGCATTATAATTGATAAACAGCCCCTAGCACATCCATTTTGTGCAACTAAACTGGACCTCATTTCAAAAACTACTAGTGCTGTTAATGAGACTGACCAGACTGACAACTTGACCCAATTTAATCCGAGTTGGCCAATTTTCAACTATTTTCAGTTGGTTTTGGTTTATGCATTATGCTAAATCAAGAAGTCGGGTTGGTTTTGATTTGGTCATGTGTAAATTAACTAAAATTGACCAGATTCAACTATATATATGTCTAGGTGTGTTAATATTTTATATTTTAAATTTAAAAATTTTAATATGGGAAAGTGGAAAAACACTTTTCTATAATCGTATATAAAATGGTTTTCATAATATTAGGGGTGAGCACAGTTTAGATAAAATCAAATAACCGAACCAAAAATTTTGGTTTTGTAAAAGTTCAGTTTCGGTTTCAGTTTTAGGTTTGGAAATCCAGTTAACCAAAGAAAACTGAATTGGCTGAAATTTACTATTTATACATAATATATACTAATATATCTTATCTATAATTATACTATGCTATATTATATTATATATTAATATATATACAATAATATATATATATATATATATATATATATATATTGATCGGTCAAAACTCTTCCCATACCATATCTTTTCCGCATCATAGATTTTTCCTAATATATTAATCTATTAATAAATTTCAGTTTTAACCAAAAACCAAACCAAAAATTTGGTTTCAATTATTTTGGTTTTTCATTTAAAACTTCAGTTTTAAAAATTTCAGTTTATTCAGTTTAGCTTTTAACCGAATAAACTAATTGCTCATTGAGATCACATCTCTGCCCCACAGTGCCCCATAGCACATCCCTGCCGTCTATTGGGAATATCTCCCAATGATGACATCATCAGGACTGGTATTATCATTGGGAGATGTTCCCAATACACGACGGGGATGTGCTGTGGGGTGTTGTGGGGTGGAGATGTGAATCCTTGCTCACCCCCACATAGTACCATTTGATATATGATTTTTACCTAGTCAAAACATAGTGAAAACTACTTCTAGGCTGTTTTTTGAACCCTCTGACCAAACCGATAAATTGACCCCAAGTAATAATTTACAGTTGGGTCACTTTTCACTAAAGGTTGGTTGGTTTCGAGTGGCCAACTTCCCAACCTAACCTATTTTGATTGTCCAAACAACCTACAACTGAACTAACCCAACCCATGAATACCCCTAAAAGGCACTTAAAACTAATTTTGGAATGATGATTGATGTATTGAGATAATTTGTCAGGGTAGGTGCCTGAACATTGCCATCAGACATCACTTTGGATCTGTTTCTCACAATCTATTCCCACATCCATCGGAATCGAGATTTGCTTCTCACAGAATGCACCTCACAGCTCCACCTCACCGTGTATGGGAACATCTCTCCATGAATAACAACACAAACTCACAAAATATGAGAGGAGAGAACTCTGTGAGGGGTAGATCCAAACTCCATCCATCCTCACAATGATTGAGAAAATATTCCCAATGCATGAATCGGGATTTGCTCCTCATAAAGCACATCTCACATGGACCTCACAGCCCCATTCCACCATGTATTAGGATTTAGGAACACCTCTTCATAAGTAACAACACAAAAGATGAGAGAATGTTCCCAATACACGATAGGATGGGGCTGAGGTCAGTGTGAGGTGTGCTCAGTGAGGAGCAGATCCAGACTCACGCCTTTTAGTGTCTTGTGGGTATGGATGTGGAAACAGTTTGTGGAGAAGAGATCCGAGCTCGAGAGACATGGCTGCATATCAAACCACAAAGGCCAACCCCAATGGAGAGATGGGGTCTAGGCATGTAGCTCAGTTTAGGCTTTTCAACCTGACCTTAGGCTTGGCTTGACTCTTCTAGTTTGACATATTTTGAAAATTTCAAACCACGGAAGCCCAAATTTGCAAAACATTGAAAAAACAAGAAAATGACTATCAATCCAATCTCATTTAGCATCAAACACTGGCTCATGAAGGTTAATGATTCAACTTCCAAGTGAAAAATCAGTGCAAAATAGTACCTGGATGAACAGAATGAAACAATGTAGTCTGTCCCAGAGCAAGTGAAAATGCTGGTTGGGTCATCATATGCATAACTGTATGCTGCAGGGCATGCTTCCTTGAACTTCTTTGAGTAATATGTAGGCTGGCAGGTCACAGGGTTCCCATAAACACCCTTACAGCAGTACTCATCTGTGCCAAACACATCACATGCACTTCGGCAGGCAACGATCTTCCCATCAGATTTAACGGCGAGTTCGGCCGGGCAATTAGGCCTCAAGTCGCCATCGCAACCGGCAACGCTACAGTTACCCTGACCTTTAACCGGCGTAATAACGACCGGAATGTTGAATCCGTCGACGAGACTAACATCATAAAAATCAGGTGATGCAAGTGTAAACTCGGCAAGTGAGGTAGGGGGTTCGCCTGAGGCTGAGCATTTGAGGGTATTGCCACAGCTACCAGTCAGGCAGCTGCCATTACCATTTTTATCAAAGTTGCAACCGGTTCGGCCCCATATTCGACCGGACCAACCAACCGGGGCAGTGAAGACCATTGACTGACCCGGTTTTAATACAAAACCGCCCCCATTAAAGTTATCACCCGGTGTAATCCCAGGCCAAATTGTTTCTTTGCAGTAGTTGACTATGGTGAAAACTCTTGCTGATTCTGATAGCTTTGCACCTAACCACGAAAATCAGTTGAAATAGAAATTAGTATATATGAGCGCAGGGCTGAGTTTGTTCATGAACCCAGGAAAAAGATTTGAAGAATCAGTGAGTTCAAGAAACAAATTTCATTAAAATAACAGAAACTATTTAAATATAATTGAATCTTTTCCTATCTAAGAAAGAGAAACACCTCCATTACTGCATGAATTTGAAGAAAGCAGCTGACCCAGAAGCCAAAAATAATTAAATGGACAAATCGAATCATGAAGGACCAGAGATTCAAGAGAGAAATAACGGTAGATGTTACCTGATGTAATCACTGTTAAGACTAACAAGACTGTGAGAAGGTCTCTCAGATGTGGAGCCATCTCTCCTCTCTATCTCTGGCTGCTCTTTGCTTGAAGCGGTACTGAGAGAGCTCGGAAGAGTCCAAAGATAAAATAGAAGAAAAGAAAGAAGAATACGTACGTGTGGGGGAGAGAACCAAAGGTCCTGACCGTCCAAAAAGGCTTCCTTGCTTGTCTGAACAGACGATTCCTTCCCTTTCCATTTCCAGTGGTTTCCTTTTCTTCCATTCTTCCTTCTCTAGAGATTTTGTCAATTTTAAAATGGACCCATGTGATGCTTCCACATGTAAATTCAATCAATCAACTTGTCACACAGAAGGGCCTCTAGGCATCTACTAAAAGTATGAGCTTAAGAAATGTCATTGGCCTACAGTACCAGATGTACCAAATGCATTCTCTGATTCTGTCTCTGAGTTTGAGCCAAGATCAGAATCAAACCCAACTTCGATCACTTAAAGAGACTCCAAGATTCCTCGGCGCTTCTCTACGCCAAGTATGCAGAAACAGAACCTGGGGGCTGAATCCTTTGAGAATTGACTTCTCAACCATTAAAAGTTTTAAAAACGAATTATTACTGTGGTTCAAACATAGACTTAGCAAAAGAACTTTCATCTCTGATGTTTTTTTGGCTACGTAATTCTCTACTTTCTGTGCACCAGTTATCGTTGGGCCACTGTGTTAAAGGCAGAAAAGGATTGGTTGCACCCTTTATGCTGATGCGTCTGTGTTTGAACCATTAAGCAGAAATAAGTACTCGGATTATTGGTGATTAAGCTTTATTCAGTGATAATCTCAGCTCAAAGAGTCACAAATGGATTTGGTTACTTCTTTCATACTACTCTTCTGGGTTACTACATATTATTAGGATTCCTATGTGCACAGTGTTTGGTGAGAGGTATCATTGGATGGTTTGGGCTTTCGTTTAACCCCATTAGAGATAAAGGAAAGCTGCTTCTCAACTTTATTCCTTCCCCTCTCAGCTTCTGTGAAATATATTAGATGATAAAGGAATGGCTCAAAAGCTTGTGATATTCATGTAATGGCCAGTCACTTTCTAGGGATTCTAATCTGTCAAACTAGTTCCCTCAGTACAAAGTAATGGATGCCGCCTTCCTATGTTTTTAGTAAAATTTTACTGTAAGTATTGGTTATCCGGTTAGATATCTCCATAAGCTTCTTCTTGGTCGGTCATCCAAACAAATTGTCCAATTTGATGCTGACAATAGCGGTTGCATTCTTTGACCTAACTATCTTCATTTCAAATTGGTTTTGAGATGGAGGATGGGTATTTTTCAACAGGTTTGATTATGAGGCAATTTTCTTCTTCTTCTCCTAATAGAAAAGGTAATAGGCTAATCTATGAGGTTTCATGTTTCATTTTTGTTTAGGGTATGTTTGATTGATAAAAAAAATAAAAAGAGAAATAAAAAGTTTAGGAAAAATGACCATCCAGTCCAGGGTCAGAATTCATAGGCCCAAATTACAGTTAGGGTAGGTGTCAGTTTGGAATTGATGTTTATTCACGGGGGCGTGATTATGAGTACATAGGGTGTGGGATTTTGACGTTTTAAATGTTTATAAATTTGCAGTAGAATTCAGAATTCTGCTTTAGACCTGTCCGTACTTTTCCGAAAATTTTAATAATTTTTTAATGCTTTATTAAGAACTTTTCTTCAAATTTCTGTTTCTCTTATTTTCTATCAAACCAAACACAGCCTTAGGTGCAACTTGGACAGGCTTCGGTTGAAGATATGTTAGAATTCTTCACTCTGTATTTATTATTTGGTGGTTAAAAATACGTAATATGCTTGAAAAAAAAATGGGCTCCACTTTTCTTTTGGTAATAACTGGGTTTCAATTTTGTTAAAGAGAAAACTGACTGTTCATTAACTAGGCAATCTATTTTAATGGCATTCTGTGACCTACCATGCAACCTAAAAGAGGGTATCATGTACAAGGTTTTGCTTTTGGATAACATATGTATGTGTATATCAAATGTGGCTGTACTTACCAAAAAAAAATGTAATTGTGAATCCATCATAGGTGATTTTTTAGCAAACAGGAACCCGTTTGAGAGGGCTTTAACGTTTGGCATTTTATGATCCAAAAAACCTCAGAAAGTCATGAAATCCTGTTTGGTGAAAATCCAAAAAAAGCTGAAAATAGCTTATATAATCTCAAAAATCGACTTTTCGGTGAAGTTATTACCGGTAACTTCTCAGAAATGACTCTGTCAATGCAGCTCAATCACCACAAAAGCCCTCCCAAACAGGCTCCAGATATGCTTACATGAGTGTAGTTCTGGGCTAGGTAACTTACCATGTGGGCGTTGTCATCAGGGATGAGCATGGGCCCAGATGGGCCATGCCAAGCTTAGCAACTATGAGATATGTCCGGGGCCCTGGTTGGGTTCGACTATGATGCCAGAAAGATATGATACCGGAAAAATTTACAGGCAATCAACTGGCATCATAAAGAAAATAACCAATTAGGAGGTATTCATCAAAATTTATCGGGGTACTTTGATTGGTCAAAACTCTTCCGGTATCATGTCTTTTCAGTACCATAGATTTTTCAGAGTACGGATAGACTTATTGCAGAACTCTGATTTCCACTGCAGATCTATAACATTTGGAAAGGTCAGTTACCCCCACCCTATGCACCAATGTCTGCCCGTAAATTGGCATCAATTCCGAGTTAGCATCTACCCCAACTGTAAGCCTATGAATTCTGATCCTGGGCTGAATGGTCATTCTCCCTAGATTTTTCCCTATCTTAACATAAGTAAAAAAAAAAAAGGTTCTTCTTAAGACCATAAAGTAAGTGGAGACACACAATCATCCATATCATTCCCTAAACGGATAAGGGATCTTTTTTTGGTATTCGGTGCCTTGCACCATTAATAACAATTAGGCAATATTTGAATTCGAATCCGATTAGAAAATCCAATATCCGAATTCGATTTGATATCCAACGGATATTGAAAAGTAATATTCAAATTCAAATCCAATAAAATAATTGAATATTCAATTTGTTTCAAATTCGACCAATTAATTATTTTAGGTAATTAATAAATATATAAAATAAATATTTTATTTATGTAAAGTATATGAAGTATATAAGTTATTTATATAATTTAATTATTATATATAAATTATATAAAAGAATTAAATATTTTATATATTATATAAGAATTAAATAATCAACCGAATGCAGATATTTATTGAATCAAATCAGGTCATATCCGAATCCGACCGATTAATAACTTCCCCTTCACCCCTTTTTTTCCTAAAATGCTGATTATAGATTCGTTTCCACATCAACACTGGAACAAACCAGCTAACACACCAACGAGCCAACCCTCAGTGGATAAAGGATTTAAAGAGCCTTCATACAGAATTTATCATATTTGTGTGACGTAGAGAAGACCGATAAATCTAAACTTTTTGCAACTGCACATTTCATTAATCTTTTTGCAATTAATATGGACTATGGAAAGTTTTCAAATTTAACATTAAATTTGTCAAAAGAGGGGCTCTATTATTATTATTATTATTATTATTATTATTATTATTATTATTATTATTTAAATATTAACAATGCTGCTTTATCCCAAATATGGGCCAGGTGTTATGCGTTAGACTTAATTAATGGGTTAGTGGAGGATTAGTGACAGGACATACATAAGGTCCATTGACTATTGTAAGTTTTAAATTTAATATTAAACTTTATTACAAAGAAGGCTTTATTATTTTTATTTATTTTTTTCTTTTTGTGGTGATGCTGTTGCTTTAGCCTCGTAGCGGCCAGGTGCTATATATTAGATCCAGTCAATTGATTAATGGGTTGGTGAGTGGTGATAGGGTGCATGCGGAGTCCATTGGCATATAATGCGAAGAGCTTGTCTTTTCAGTATTTGAAAATGAGCCTCTTCAATACAAGGGATGCCTTATGAGTTATGACCAAATCGACAATGAGTGGATTAAAATAAAGACTCTATTCTAACCAAAATGAAAGGGGGGAATATGTGGGTGGTCATTTTGGGCCTCCAACCAATTTTCTACGTGAAGAGACTCCCTTCTTATTGATTCTTCCTTCCTAATCAACCCAACTATCACTTAACAAAAACAAACAACTCGACTATCAGATCCACTCCCTTTTCTCATTTAAAAATTTTACTTTAAGTTTTTTACATTATATTCTTTTTTGCTTGAGAGTGGATGGTAGAAATGACAACAGGGTGAGTTTAGGCCTTAGGGCAGGGATCATACTTTCCATCTCCGACCTCAATTTTGAAACAAGTCTCTGTCCCATAATTTGATCCCTGCCAGGATAAAAATCGAAAAAGTACAGACAGACTTAATGCAGATTTCTAAATTCTCCTGCAAATCTATAAACATTCAAAATGTCAAAAATCCACACTTTATGCATCCATACCTGTCCGTAAATTGACATCAATTCCGAGCTGACACCTACCCCAACAGTACTTTAAACCTACAAATTCTGACCCTAGGCTGAACTTTAATTCTCCCATAAAAACTACCCTCTATCTCTAATCACCGATGGAAACAGGTTTGGACCCAAATCTTCCTCACTGTCCACCACCTCACAAACACAAACAATGCAATACGCTGACGATACCATATCGTCCATCACGTGGGTACTACCGCAAGCCACAAAGGGTTACCAATGTATCGCAGGTGGAAGGGCATTTTTATAAATTATAATTTGGGTATTTCAAGGTAAATGTAGGAGAAGTGTTGCCAAAAAGGTTATCCATTAATTGTTAAAGACAAAGCTCTTCAAAGAAGTATAGATAAATACAGTGGACTCAGTTCTGTGCATTTCTCATTTTGATTTTAGAAACTGTTACATGTACTAACATATACTGTTGCCAAAAAGGTTATCCATTAATTGCTTCTCTGCAAAATGCATGAAAATTTTCACCGGAGGAAATCAGGTGTTTCTATTTGCTTTATCAATGGCCACCCTGAATCCGTGAATCTGTGTATCTATGATTCTATGATGATGGAGTATTCATTGTTAGAAATCATTTTCTTTTTGTTTTTTTTTTCTTGAATAGAAATCAAAAGGGGCTATCACGTCCCTACAAATCAGACATACAAATAAAAGCTAAATTTCATGGAAGGTCACTGAGATTGAGACTTACTGAACCCTGTTAGAAAAACATTTTCTTTCATTGCTTACTGGCTTTTCATATTTTTGACTCCTGGAACAATTTCCTTTTACTTTCATTGCCTTTAACAAAGATTAGAGACGTTTCTTTCTTGCTAGCATGCCTGATTCTGGAATTCGAGTGGTGATTATGTTCAATGTTGGTTTCTTGTGCTTCTTGGATCATCTCCCTAAGCCATTCTGGAAATACCCCATGTAGGCATGTATTACATTTCGTTTCATAAGTAAGCTCTCAAGGCCTTGGAAGAATTAGCAATAGCACTAATAAGTTTTCTCTTATGTTTTCTCACTTTGTTCATTTATTTCTTTCTTCATTCCATGTGAAGGAAAACTGATGCCTAATCCACTTCACAGATCTAGTAAGAAATCAGTAAATTGACAATCAAAGGAAATAAGGCATGTTACCCAGGGTTGATAAATCGCTTCAGCAAAAGGAATGAAAATAGAACCTGGTAAGTTTGCCAGATTAAAGCACAATCACGTTCTCACAAGTCACAATACATATTCTCATTAAATCAACAGCAAGCAGCCAAGGCCACAGATTACTCATCCTCGGCGCTAGTATGAGCAATTCTGCATCTCCACGCTCCAAGAAACACTTGGATTAGTGGTGGTGATCTCTGACCTAATCACCCAACCTACCGATTTGGAGTTCAGATTTCCTCCTCACACCCACCTCACAGTACGTTGCAGCCACACATAATGAACATCTCCTGTACTTGTATGTTTTCATTGATGGGGAGATGTTCCCGATGCACAGCTGCAAGTGCTCTGAGGTGGGCATGAGGAGTAATCCCGATTCACCCATTTACTTCACAGGCTATATGGGTTAACAGTCCAATTGGATGGAGTATGTTAGTATGGGTTCGGCGATATATGGTGCCTCCGTGCCTAATCCAATCACCCAGCCCATTGGATGCATTATATCTCAACTCACACAGGGGGATGGATGTGGGTTGGGTTAATGTGTGACTGGGCTACACCCATTTAAGCTCTATGCAAATGGTGATAAATAGGTTGGTTGGTTAAATGGGTGGGTTGTAGCTCAACCAATGCTTACACACACACATGCACACCCACAGAACATCCATTCTCAAGACAGCTCCATCTGGTTGCATGGTCCAATACTCCAATGTCCAACATCTTGGGTTGCTGGGTTCATCGGGTCTCTGCCAATCTTGTTCGCATCCAAGCAACCAAGGGAGTCCCAGTTGCAAGGCCTATCTGATCGAATCAGGCAGTCTGATCTGGGTTCTAGAGACACCTAAGAATATGTGTGAATTCATAGAAGCATGATCTATTAATTCAGCATCAAACCAAACCAAAAATTTTGTAGCACCAGTTCTTGCACTCTCTTGGATGGGGAGAGGTCAGTGCATAGTAAGGGCTCCAATAGCACCACGGCCAAACACTTTCAAGTAAACGTCTTATCATCCTTGGAGTGTTAAACGTTTCTATAGTGACCACGCATTAGATATTTGACAGCAAAGTAGTTACAAAACCATGGATTTGCAGCATAAAGTTCTATTGGAATTCTTAAATTGCAAGTTTGTGACAAGTAAGCAACATGTATCAGGTTTTTAATATCAGCATGGTTAAAATACCATCAATTGTTTGGAAGGCTCATATTATATATGCCTGCCAAGCGATCAAAATCATCAGAAGAGATACCGTTTATGATATCATACTTCTTGCAATTTACCTTAAGAACCTCCACTTGTTGATCTGCAAGCTTCTTCTCTTCCTCCAGTTGATACTGTACAAAGAGCAGAATAGATCTAGTATGGGCAATGTTTCAACGCATAATAATTTTGAATGAGAACTTTACTGTAAAGAAGAACGAAAAATTGACAATAACATCCCTGCATAGTGCATAGTAGCTTATTTCTGAGTAAGTGCACCAGTTTTTCATCCAATACGAACGTAAATGAAATAGCATCACTCTTCCTACTTATGTTCATCCAATCAATGCAGTGATGCACTTTAGCTTTTTTAACCAAATGCAAGTAGTATGTCAACATAAGAAAACCAAGAAATACAATGAAACAAATGAGTATACCTTGAGCATTACAGAAGCTTCTGCAGCCTGTTTCCTGATAGCATACTTCAGCTTCCTTGCAACTTTAAAATCTGGATCCTTGGGGTCCACCCATCGGCACTGTATCCTTCGACCAGGCTTTACAGGTAGATCATCAAACATCTCCACTTCAGCTGCACGTGCCCTAACAGGCCTTGGCATCCCAGACATCATGAATGGGCAGTTGGTCATCTCCATGATAATTGATTCAGCCTGCTTTGCACTCGCCATCTCCACCAAGGCACACTGGGGGATGTCCTTCAACTCTATATAGTTTGGGATAAACTGAACATTTACAACTTCTCCAAGCTGCTCTAGTGCGGCCTTTATGACAGATGCAGTGACCTGTGGTGAGAGGTTGTCAATATACACTGTCCTCTTCATCTTCTCCTCAAATTCTGTATATTCATCGTGGGATGGAGTTGCCATTGTAAAGGAGCTAAATGCAAATTCTCCGCAGTATAAGCAGAATAGAAGGATGACTAACTGCAAATATCAACAAAAGGCAAGGCCAAGAAACATAATTAATGCTGAATGGTGTACGTTAAGATCCAAAATATTATATCAGTAATGGAAAAAAAATGCCATTTTCTGATTAACCATCTGTGAACACAGTTTGATGCACTTTAAAATGCCCAAGAAGAAGAACTTCGACAAAATTGGAAAGAAAGAAGTTACTTTACACCATATTTTCTTATTCTTGATTTATGTTTGCAGATTTTTACATGCACCTTAAAGAACTTCAACAAAAATGGAAAGAAAGGAGAGACACACCAATTGTGTTGTCACCAAAAGAGAGAAAGAGGACTATTCAATGCACATACTCCAAGAGTTGTACAAAAACAAACTTCAGTCCAAGCTTCATTCTTCACTAACTCACAAGGGCAACACTTATTTGAGGATTGGAGGATTTGGTTACACAATTTACAAAACTACTTAAAGTGGGACAATATGCCTAAGGGCAGGAAGATCTATTTTGTTGATAGCAAGTTTTGAGCCAAGAGTGTGGTAGTTCAAGCATGGTGCCAACCAGCTGGTTGGTAAGGTCTCCTGCTGGTTGTTGTGGAGACGGGGTCAAATCCCGAAATAAAAAAATAAAAAAAAAAAGGGTGTGGTAGTTCAAGCAGCAAGATGGTATGAGAGGATATGAAGCAAGAATTGAAGATGCAGTTCTCACCCATGAACTCTAAGGAGCAATTCTATCTATAGCTTTGCAAATTGCACCAAGATTCAACTATGGTGGAAGTGGAAGATAACATACTATCACTTTGCAACTCACTCTGATCATGAGTGGAATGGGGATATTATGATAGTCATGTACCATTTAGGATTAAGAAAATAGAATGCATCAAGATTAGTCATGTGCAATTTGTTTTCTGCAGTTGACGCAATTCAAGTTGTTCTTTTTTTCTTTAATTCCACTTTTTATAATTTGTTGATAAAAGAATAAGAATAGGGGGTTTTTATTGCTACCCTTGCCTATGTGCAAGCACCCCTTATAAATTAGGGTAGCCCTTGCTACCTTGCCTATCCATTTCCACCTCTTTTTCTTTCTTTCTTTCCTTTTCAAACAGTTTTCAGATTCACTAGGAATAACCACCCAATACAATTGATCTCTGTTTGTCTACTGTTTAGCCAACACATCCATCAAGTTATTGGCCAGTCTTCAGGTACAACTGAAGTGGGCCCCCTCTCTTGCCAAATAATTTATTTCCCTCAGTGTGTGTGTCTATAGTCTATACAGCCATGGCCCTGGGTTGTTATTGTTCATCCACTCTAGTACTACTTGAGAGTCCCATTCCACCACCAATCTCTAAAGTTAAGAGTTTTCCTCAATTTCAGGCCACCCCACTAGTACTATATATGCAATTGGAGTTGCCTACCAGATTAACGATGATTTGAAGTATACTTTCTATGCGCTCTTTTAGAATGGTGCTTTCAAGCTTACTGGTGCAGTAGCTTCTCCATAAACACAACCAGCATGCATCAATACATTCTATAGGAAATGCAACCAAGTCTAAGGTTAATTTTTAGTGATTCCATTGTAAGGGTTGCAAACACTTTCAGCCAATTTTCCTAATAAGATAGTGGCCCAAAGGGTATAATCTCCCACCATTAGGCAACAAACAATAAAACTAAAGCTCATACACCCCCTGAAATTTTCTCTTTTGAAAGGAGAAAGTTGTTTGGGACAGAGAGGCTAGGTTTTTTTTTTTTTTTTCTATGAGATGCCACCAATTCAGATGTTAGGTGCAATCTTCTTCAAATGATAACTAGAAACTGTTAATAACCAAAAAATAACAAAAAAGAAAAGAAAAGACCAGAACTGTAAGAGAATGACTCAATCTGGCCCAAGAGGACTTCCTTCACTGCAAGTCTGCACTATAGCTTCAGTATAATGGAATCATATTTTAGGAGCTTTTCATGTGAATCGGTGCTTTCCAGAAATATTGGAACAACTCTTAAGGGGCTGGTATCTCCAAGGACTAAGCATAAAAGGAAACTGCTTTGGAACTCTAACCTACAGTGACTATTTGGGACCTATGAAAGAAAGAAACTTGCATATCATTGAGAACAAAGAACGTCTGAAGATGTCTTCTTAAAAAGGTAGTTGGTATGCTAAGATCCTCGCTAGTAATTAAGATTTTACTCAAGGATGTTCCTTTCCACGATGTTTTTTTTATTATGATATTCATTTTGTTACTCTTTGGTACATAGGTCATGTGATCTAGTTGTTTTCTTTTTGGACAGACTGACTCTTTGTACATAGGTTCTGGTGTACATAATCTCATAGTTTTCACAGCAATACAACTACATTTTGCCCTTCTCAAAACCACTACATCAGATGAATTTACATCCTAAGAATCCACTTACATTTTAATTTCAGTAGGGGTGCAATTTGGGCAGGCTTGGGCAGAGCATTTTTTTTAGATTTTGAAATTGCCCAGTCTCAGCACCCATGGTTGATACAAAGAAAAATTTTAAAATCAGGTAACCATGTTGAACCCCTCGTTTTCAGTCAATTAGCTCTCCTCTCGTGTGGAAAGAATAGTGCGCTCTTTTCACCTTTCTTTTGCTCTAAAAATAATAATAAGTTGTCATTCACAGTGAAACTGCAAAGAATGTTTCTGATATGGAAAAGTGCCACAATACTGACTTGTATAGGATCATTCCATGAGGCTAGAACGGAATTCCCTGACCTTACTATATGGTTGTCAATTTCATATAAGAACAGCCAACTTCCAACATCTCTTTGCTTCTTGAACAAATAAGAACAGTCAGTATCAATCCAATTCCTTTCCTTCTTTCTTGTTTCCACTTTAGAGAATAGAACATCTTATAAGCATAACACAAGCAACAACAATGAGGAATTAACCGCTATGGCTTTTACAGAAAAAAAAAACACTATTATTTAGATTCTTCAAAACTACATTGATTAGAACAGCTCATTCAATGCAAAAGTCTCTAGACCCTTAGAAAAATGGGGAGAAAGAAAATACAGTGTGAGGCATTTTAAATTCCATTTTGCAATAAACGAGATAATTCAAGAATAAAAGGGTTTTGGCTCCAGATGCAAAATCTTCCAATAGTTTACCATACTCGACAAAATATGAAATTAACGAAACAAATATATGTTTGGCTGATCCTCCTTCCTCCAACATGCATATATTTACGCTTATTTTCTCTTTCTTCTACTCTGAGCTAGAGATATAACCAAACCCAGAAATGAGTTAAACTTTAGTAATCTAAATCTTTGGTGTTCTTCAAGATTGTGAAGAACCCACTCTGCTTCATAAGGAATTCTATCAGACTTTCCCATCATGATCAATTCCCGAAGGATTTAGAGCGGACACATTCAAACAGACAAGGATTATAAAAGATAATGAAATGGATGATACGGTGATTGAGCAAAAACAAGGAATTCTAAAAACATTACTTACCTTATGAGTTTCGATTTGCTACTTCCTTTCCGGCTTCAGAAACAGAGAGATGAGTATCAGCTGGGGCGGGAAAGGAAAATGTTCGTTTGGCGTTTGGTATTCCCAGTTTCTAATCCATCCAGGGCCCATGTTTAGTACTACACACCCACACAACACAGTTCGATTGGAGGAGAAATCAGCTAGTCTACCTGAAGTAGCGCTGGGCTAAAACCATGAAATCATGGCCTTCAATGCTTTGCTGTGACCCCATTTTACGTGCTTCATCCAATTTAAGGTGGGCCACAGCAATACATCGAGGGCTGTGATTGATTCATGATTCTTGCCCAAAGCTGCTCCAGATGGAGCAGCTGATTTTTAAGCATTTTAATGCGAGACTCCTCTAACTTGCCACGTGTTAAATATTCAAATAAAGTAAACTGCTTTTGCTGCCACAGATTAAAGTAACGTTGTTACGGAACGCAACGCGGAAACCTTCCCTGAATTTTCTGACAATTATATAAACCTTCCTGTGTTGTTTTGGTTATAACAAAAAACTCCCTGCAATTTTGAAAAAATATTCAATTACCTCCCTTCTGTTGGTTTTCTAATAACATAGATAACGAAATTACTAAAATACCATTTTTTACGATAAGGCACCCTACACAATTTTAAATTTACCCTTTGCTATTTTTACTTGACAATTTTATGGGGCGTTCTTTTTTCAGATTTTGAGGAGTTCGGCTTCAGCCAGTACAAGGACTGTTCGAACACCATTCGAACAGCCTTTACAGCCTTGCATCGGAAATATTTCTGCACTTCTGTGCTTTATTTCATGGGAGATATCCCAATGAAAAGTTATAATGGTTGTTCGAATGGGCTTTCCACTAATTGAATCCGGTTTTGATTTTGAGAGGGAGGAAAGTTGGTCAATTGGATTTTGGTTCCCATTGACCAAGAATCCCAGGTAAGTGATACCCATTTCCTAGGTGGGTAAGTAACTTTCCCACCTAGGAGGAAAGTTGACAACACTTGAATGGGACAAAATTGCCATTTTTAATAATAGACTTTTATGACTAAAATGGTTATTGCCTTATTTACATAAAAAATAAAAGAACATGAGTAAATGCACTTACCCGGGTAAGTGTTTCCTAGGAAAAACTTACCCAAGTAATTGCATTTACCCGGGTAAGTAACTTACCGAAAAACGAACTGTCCTTTGAGAGATTTAAGGTGGCATTTAATAAATCTAAAGTTTGATGTCTAAAATGTCAAAAAACTATTAGTCAGGTATGAAATCTAAAAAGTATAGAAATGATTCTTTGCTTTTTAAAGGCTGTCAAAAAATAAGATCATTTGAGTTGGAGCAATTCTCTAACATCTAAAATTATGAAATTTACTATTTTACCCTTAGAAATAGACTATTTGATAATATTATTAATAATAAAAAGAATATTAAATAAAATATTATTTTATTTATAAAAAATATTATGATTTGTTGAAATAAATAATTAGTTATCATTTAATTAATAATAATATTTATTTATTATTTTAACTAATAAATACATATTTTTAATTAATAATAAATATTTATAACAACATTGATTTATTATTATTAAATCATATTAAATAAACTACTATTATTATCATTATTAATAAACATATTATTATTATTATTATTATTAAATAGATGATAGTAATGAGGGCATTAATGTCATTTTATCATGTCTGAAATGTGTGTGGTGTTAGTAAGACATGAAACCAGGTCTTACCACTTCAGATCTGAATTTATGTTTCAAATCCTTTAGGCTGTGTTTGGAAATGATGCAAATAGAGTGTAAATCCCGGTTCAGAGTAAATTTGCGTTATGGTTCACTTTTGTCTGTATTTGACAACATTACATTTATGCATTGACAAATGACAGACCAATACATATTTACATTGATAATTAGATGTAAAAGTACATCAATAAAAAAGAAGTAAATTTGCATTCAAGTGGGCTTTTGATAATTAAAAGGCATATGCTTTATTGGAATTCGTGTTTGCATCCATTATAGATAAAAGTCTGTTTGGTAAGAAGGTAAATTTGTCAGTGCAAAACTAACCCAACTTTGCAATTTATATGGACCATTTTACACTCTACATATTCGCATTCACACTTATTTGCATCGCTTCCAAATGCAGCTTAATGAAAACTAAATCCAAATGCTGGTGGGGTTTGAAAAGCAAAATTTTCATACCTCAGATGTCTAAGAAGTGTTATCAAACGCCACCTAAGTTAAAACACAAACTCTCTACCAATCACCATCCCATAGATGTAGAATAAATAGTCTTTTTTTTTTGCATCTTATCTGCCTTAATCTTCAAGTGGTTTCTTGAGAGTGTAAGCCCAAGAGTTGAAGGCAGAGATAGGAGGGCACATTTAGGAATGAGGATAGATGTTCTGCATATTGTGTGAGTGTTTCCAATAAGGCAATATCTCAAATTTCTTTCTTTCTTTATTGATTAAAAAATCTATTTCATTTTCCTTTGTTTCCTTTTATGGTTTATACTAAACTCCTGAGGTTTGTGGTCTTGATTATAGTGGACTTCATTCAATCTTTGTTAAAGAATTCTCAACTTTTTCAGTTTAAATTGTAATTTTTCACTAAGCGGGCGTTCTTTTTGTGTATTTTGAGACGGGAAAAGTTGGTCATTGGGATTTTGATTCCCATTGACCAAGAAACCCATGTTCATTTTTCAGATTTATGTGGGGACTAATGAAAGTTTATTTTCCTAGGTATCACTTACCCTCCTAGGTGGGTGAATTAACTTTCCCATTTAGGAGAAAGTTTCCAATACTTGGATGGGACAAAAATGCCCCTTTTAATAATGGAATTTTTATGGCTAAGATTGGCATTGTCTTATTTACATGGAAAATAAAAGAACATGAGTAAATGCAGTTACCCAGGTAAGTCTTTCCTGAGAAACACTTACCAAGTTAAGTGCATTTACCTGAGTAGTTGACTTACCTAAAAGCAAATGCATGCAACAAGTTAAATCAACATTCTCTAATTTTTATAGTTGTGGTTCAAATGACAATTTTTTGGAAGACCCTTTTGCATTGGTATATTACTATTTGATTATTCAGAATCAGGTCATATGTGCATATATAAGCAAAACTACAATTAGATGGTGGAGATCACATGTAGACATGAGGTGGCTTTATGCGGGGAAGATGTAGAAACTATTGAGCATTACCTATTTGTGGAGTGCTACACGGGGATGCAAAGATGGTGGAGATGGAGGAAATGCTCTTAGTGGTCAAATTGGTTGATCAGTTTCCATAGGAAAATATGCTCATACAAGGAGATTACCTATTTGTCATCAATCATATGAAGGCAAAACACTCAATTGCTCCATATGCAGCTCACGAATTGGTTGTTTCATGTGGCATATGGGTCTCTGTTGTGTGGTTTGGAAGCACCATTTTCTAAGAAAACAGTGTCTTTTTTTTTGTTTGAAAATGTTGCTGCCAGGTAGGACATTTCCTGGAGCAACAACAACGTTTTCTGTTTGATACCAATGCTCCATGAAACATTTTCATCACTGGTACCTATTATTCAGTGCCATGTCATATCCCTATCACTACCACCTCATGTCCATGTTGGCAACAACAAGCTACAGCTCAAAGAAACGCCAAATTCAGCGTTGCTCCAAGCCACGCCTTTCCGATTTCCAAGGTGTGGCTTGGAGCACCATTTTTTATGGAAAAACGGTTTCAAACAAATAGATGTTTCCTGAAGCACCATTTTTTCTGACGTGGTGTTGATGTGTCACCATTTTCTAGAGGAATGACATCGATGCCAAACAGATATATTGTGCCTACTAGATCCAGTCCAGCTTGTAGTACATCTCCACATGAAGCACTAAACATGCGGGAGTAACTCCTAGAAATGCCAAAATTGTCATCACATCATCTCTGCTAGTGTAATATTGTGGTTAGATGATTCTACCTACTCACTTTGCAAAAGTTTCAGAGGTGACACACACCTAAATTTACCAAGGGTAGGGGTGGCAATTTTTCACCCAACCCGTTGAACCCATAGGTAGGACTGGTCTGGACTTGATAGTTGGAAATGGGTTGATCACCCATTGGGTCAATTTAAATGGATTGGGTTGGGTTGGGTTGTGGATAACCATTGGGTTAACCACTAAAGATACAAGTATGAATTCCTTAGCCTTTTTTTCTTCATTTTCTTCATTTGAGTGAAATAAATTATAATCAGTGCATTAATTAATTACTAAAATTAGATTTCCTTGAATCAACACACTTCACCCGAATCAACATAAATCCAAATCAACCTGACCCGAGTCCAGACCAGTCTGAATCAATTAAGCTAGGTTTGAATATGAACATACCTAATCACCTCAGTGTGATTCGTTTGGGTCGATCATCTTAGTCCAGACCCAACCCGATTTAACATGGAGCGATCTGATCCGACCCGAATCTGAAACGGTTCTGGGCGGACTGGTTCAATCCAAATCCAGTTTGATTTGGACAAAAGAAACCTATCCCACCTACTTTGGTCTGTTCCAATGTGACCCGACCCAAATCACAAACAGTCACAAACAAAAACCGGTTCAGGTCAGATCCGAAACCAACCCAAAGCCACATGGACCACTCGCTTTTGGATCCTCTTCGGATCAACCTGACCCGGGCTCGCTATAGTCATGGGGAAGCCGGTTTGGATTAAATCCGCTCCAAGCCAAAGTGGCACAATCCATTCGCTCCGAACTCCAGGTCGGACCAACCTAGAATTTGACCGGCATGCCCCTACCCTGCTTCGAACTAGTCGGTTTGGTTCCAAACCTGTGCACAACCTGATATGGGCCAGTCCGAGTCAATCTGCCATTGACCGGACCAATCCAATCTGGTTTGACCGAACTGATCCTAATCCAAATAGTTCAACCACTCTTGATGGATGCAGGATCTCTTGCCCACGTCTACTCACAACTACCCCCATGAATTGGGAACATCTCCTCTTGATGTGATTAGCTTGAAGACAAATCTAGTTAGATCGTTCAAGTTGGTCTAACTGATTTGAACTTAAGTGGTTCAGTCAAACCTAAAACCTGAACATAGTTAATGGCTTCACCACTTGTCTAAAAATAATATGCATGTAATGTGATTTGAACCTTCATCACTCATGTAAATAACAACTACTATTACCACCAAGCTATGACCAACTTGTTTATTAAATGAGAATTAGTTTTTAATTTTAAGTACATAAAT